TATTTTTATGAGAAGCTGTTTTTCATGGCAGAAATAAACTTGGATGTTTGCCATTGCCTGCCGAGGGGCGACCGCTGTTAAGAAAAAATCTTTTTTCTATATTTTTTGCGATGTTGTTACCACTAATACAAAGATATGGGCAAAATTTCAGACTCATATATACACCGGTGCACTTTTTATGACATTTTTGAGGTTAAGTTTATGTGGGAGGTATGCTTTAAAATAAATCGATCACTCCAATTTTTCGGTTTATGTCCAGAAATGTTGCTTGCAAAAAATTGAGGTTCTACGCCGATTCCTTCTAATTTTTTCCTAAAAGTGTATGGGGCTGTACTACTGTGCTGCGTGCAAATTTGAGCGCTAGGTAATTATAAGAGGTTAGATAAACACCACTATTCTTAATTAAAAATGGAAAGGAAATAACTACTTTTATAAATCATTGCGTGTAAATTTATTAATTTCCATGTTAGGATGCGTTCACACTGAAAGCCGAACGGCGCCGAGCGCAGCAAGGTGGAAAAGGTGAATCTGCTGGTATTCACACTGAATGAAGCGGAGCTTCTCTAATGGACTTGGCTGCAAAGATACCACAAAAAACATCGTCAATGAAAAGCGCAAAAATATTTGCAAAATTTTATCCAAAAGATTATTTGTAAAATTCGTTTTTGTCTGAATATTTTGATAATTTGTTTGCAACAGCATCATGAAGCTGAAAAATTAAATAGAAAATTCAAAATCAAAAACTGCCTTGCTTCTGAAAAAGCTTGCTGAATGAACACTTTCACATAGCTACGGCGATTTGAAAACTTCACTCAGCTCGGAACACTTGGCTCCGCTTTCTGTGTGAACGTACGCTTATAGGCGGCATACACGGTGCGTCTGACTCCCGAGTCGGTTTGTATGTGTTAGTGAAAATAAATATGCGTTCTCTGAATGACTCAACTGTGCGTGGTCGAAAGACGAGTCAACACGTGCACAGATGACTCGCAAGTCAGACGAACCGTCTATGGAGCCTATTAGGCTAATGAAGTAAATTTATTCGGTACCTATATTATTGTATGTATTTTTTAAATGTATGTTGCAGATAAAGTCACTTGATTCCAACAATCTGGATCAGAAGAATGACGTTGGTGTCGAAAGTGCAGCAGTATTACCAGAAAGTCAGAAGTCAAACGCTTTACAGGGTCCTTTAGTTGATGCTCCGAATAAAATAAGTATACAAGAAATCAACATCAACGATAATCACATTGAAAGTCCCTCCGTTGATGCTAAGGCGAGCACTGAAGATGTTGAGCGTGTCGCTTTGGAAGCAGCTGTGTTAAATCCGCGAGTTGTGCCTGGCACAAATAATATTGCAATTAATGATTTTGTCAACAGTCTAGACACCTATACCTTGCCGCAAAAGCAACATTTCCACGGCGCTACAAATGAGCGTCAAACTGCTGTTATTGCGGCTTTCAAGCACTCATGGAGCGGTTATAAAAAGTATGCTTGGGGGCATGACAACTTGAAGCCATTATCACAGGGTTCGCACGATTGGTTTGGCTTGGGTTTGACCATCGTGGACTCGCTGGACACAATGTATATAATGGGTTTAGAGGATGGTATGATTTTAAAACACGCTTTTTTTCCAACAAAATACGCCTAACTTATTCCCGCAGAATTTAATGAGGGTCGTGAGTGGGTCAACAATTTCCTCACATTTGATATCAATCGGGATGTGAATCTGTTCGAAGTTACTATACGTGTTTTAGGTGGCCTATTGTCTGCTTACCATTTAAGTGGTGATAAAATGTTTTTGACGAAGTCGGT